ACAGCCTATTCTCCACCTCCCCCCTCCCATAGACCTGAAGGCAGAGCCATGGAGCAATGAAAAGAAATTTACCCAAGGACACACCTAGTAAGTGCTACAGCTGGAACCCATTACATAGCCTCCCTTAAAAGAAAAAAGACGCCATTTCAGTGGTGGCAAGCAGATGTTTCACTAAGCTGTCTTTCTAACTAGAGAAATGGTGGAGGATGGCTAAGGAGAGGAAGAGAGAGCAAAAGAGCTGTGGTACAAGTCCGCGGTGGATTAAAGCACTGAACTCCTAGCCGTGCCCAAGATAAAGCATGGCATCCTTGCCATGGATTTGACCACATCTCAAACCCTCTAAGCCCACAGTGGAGTTTAAGAAACCTGGTCAAGGCAGGTCAGCCTTGATAAAATACAGGGTTAGGCAAAAGTAGGTTTACAGTTCATATGGAAAAAGACATGCAGGATATGAGTATTATAATAGCTTTATTAACTAAAAAGAATGTTACAATGCAACAGTAAACCTACCTTTGCCCACCCCTGTATTTTGGAGCTTTTATGTGACTGGAAATGTGTGCAAGAAGTGAGTGAGTCAATCTCATTGTATTGGAGACTCAGTCTGAGGAGCCCAGGATGAGAATCAAAGTTGTGGCATCTGGATGCTGCTGTGAGCTCCCGAGCCTGCCAACATTCCTTGTTCCTGAGATAACACCAGAGCTGATGGAGGCTGGTGAGCCTGGGGCTGGCTTTTCTGGGAAGAGTTTCTGCTCACCAGGTGGAGTGGGGCTCCTGCCTGGCGCTTCCATTGTAGCCCTTGGCACACTGGTCTGTCTCTTTCCACAGCTGTAGCTGACTCCCCCTGGGGATATGGGCTTCCCAAGGGCAGGGCAGGTCTCTCCCCAGTGGCCGGCACCCAGCCAGACCCCTAAGGGCAGCTCCACCCTGCGAGGAGCCCCTGCCTAAGCCCAGATGCAGCAGGGCAAGACAAAGGCAGGCCGGGCAGGCAGCCCGGCATCCACAGGAGAGCCCAGGAGACCCTCCAGGCCTGGCAGGGCAGCTCTGAAGGCCCGGCTCCACAGGCAGATGTCAGAGCCAATCCCAGCAGCCCCCCCCTGGGGGCCCAGCACTCCGACCGGGTCAGACCTGCAGCCTGAGAGAGCCGGGCACAGCTTCTGGCCAAGGAAGGCTGCCGCCATTTCTCAGCAGGTGCTCGGCTCTACAGGGAAAGATGGAAACTTCAGAGAGGATGGGAAGGGGGAGGGGAGGGTGTCCAGCGAATAGCTCCAGAACCAGCCTGGGGATTTGGGTGGGAAATGGGTTGGGCAGGTGGACCAGGGATGTCCAGTTGTTGCCAGGTAAGTTTGGCAGGGTAAACAAGCAAGTCTATGTTAAAAGAGCCACAACAAAGAGCCTTGGCACCAGATTCTATGGGAGCTCGGAGGAGGGGCCAAGGCCACCACCCCAGTGTCAGGGAACGCTTCTCAGGGCAGCACCTTTGAAGGCTGCCAGGGAGTCCATGGGTGGACAAGGGGAAGGGCGTTCCAGCAAAGACAGATAAGCGAAGCAATGGGTGGGTGAAAGAATATGTGGAGCTGGCGCATGCCTGGATCGGGGAACCAATAACCCAAACTCCTGCCAATAAATAAATACTCACATGGGAATCAGGGATCCCGCTGCCCCGAGGCCAGTTTGGAGAACCAGGAAGTCCAGTCATTGCACTCCAGCCCTAGGATAGGGGCCTCCTCTGGGCCGCAGGGATGTAGCATCAAGGATGCCTCCTTCCCAGGGGCCAGGCACCCTCGGACCAGCACCCGGCCCCGAAGGCTTTGGTAGCCACCAGCAGGCAGCGCACACCCGCAGGAAGCACAGGGCCAGATGGAGGGACCAGACTGCCTGGACGCCATCCCACACCCACCTCCAGAGCAGGGCCAGTCACAACCCTAAATCACCACCCAGGGCACACACCTGGAAGAACCGCTTCCCAGACAAAACCTACTCTCGCCTGTGGGAAGCACTTTTTTCTAAAATGCTGGTGTCCACCCACAAGACAGCTTTTGTGCCTCCCAAGTGAACTGTCCGTCCTTCCTTCCCCCAGCGGCGGACAGGTGGGGACGCCAACCCCATTTCCCTGCAGGAAAACCGAAGCCAAGCCCCTACACCGACCTTCTCGGAGGCCAGAGTCGGCGGCAGAGCGGCGAGGCCGGGGCCATGGGAGCCGGTCGTGGCCGCTGCTCTCCCCGCAGCCTGTTGGGCCCAGGAGGATCCTGGGGGGGCTCCCCGTGAGGAGAATTCCGGGAGGGCGGATGGACACAGGCTGGGAGTTAGAGGGCCGGGTTCAAGTCCTGCCTCTGCTAATTATTTGCTAATTTAACCTCTGAGTTTCCAGCTCCTAGTTTGTAACTCGGAGATAAGGGGTCCCTCCTCGCAAAACTGCCCTAAGGTTTCAGCACTGTGTTCCTAATGTCCGCAGCAGAGCACTGAAATATTTGCGGTGGGCACAGCGCAGTGACTGCACAGCCTGAATTCTCAGGTTAACCTTGATTCCCCAAGTTCCAGCCGCACCTGCAGTTCCTCCCTCCTGCGTGAGACCTCGGGACGCCGCCCGCACCAGGTCCCCACCCTGCACCCCACATCGCCACCAGCTTTTAGTGGGACTCGGTCACTGTGAAATTCCCAGACTCTGGCCCTCCCTCCTCGTGAGATCCTCAAGGGCAAAATCAGGGAGCCTTCCTCCCAGCAAAGTGTCTTGCATGTAGAGGATAGGGTGCACTGGACTTCGGGCTCTGTCTGTGTTCCCCCTGGGGCCCATCTCTGCCCTGGCGGAGACTGGAGGCAGCAGCGGGGGGTGGCAGGGCGCCAGGACCAGGGTTGCAGGGCCAGTGAGGCCCATACCTCCCAGGTGGCCGAGTGGCTGGGATGGCACAGAGCCTGGACCCGCAGGACCACGGCGGCCGCTGTCCTGACTTTGCAGGGGCACCCACATGGGAGTAGCCTCTTGTGGAGGGTGCGGGCGACTGGAGTGAGGGCAGGTGGGTGCAGGACGTTGCAGTCACTGGCCCGCGACAGACCTTGGTCCCCACCTCCCAGGGCACCTACCTGCCTAGGGAAGATGACCTGAAAACAAGTTAAAACAGGCGTCAGTGGGGGCGCAGGCTGCTCAGGACCGCCAGGCTTCTTGCTAGTGGCGTCTGAACTTGCTCTAAGGATACTGACTTGTATGAGGCCAAAGTTGGTGCCACTTTCGGTGCCTGGTGTGAATCGAGGTCTGGACACACAGAGTACCACGAACTGCCTTGTGGTGGGGGTGGGGAATAGGTGAGGCACAGGAAACAGCCACACCTGTGCACGTCATTCATTTTCGGTGCCACACTGTCCTTTCCCTTCCCCTTCTTGCTAGTTCCCACTCATTTTACAGAACCTTGTGTGGCGCACCTCCTCATAGGCCTCCCTCCCCAGGTGATCCCTGACCCCTCCCAGGCTCCTTACCCCACGTCCCCAGGTGCCAGCTTCCCTTGCTGCACACACATGGCCTTGTGGTAAGGGTTGAGCGTCTTTCCTAGATTCTGGCAGCTTGAGGTAGAGCCCGTCTTTCTCATCAACCTGGGCTCCTGCCTGGCACATGGCCCAGCTCCTAGTTCTAAGTGAGGGTTCTGGTGGTCCTGTGGGCGATACCAGGCCGGACCCTAGGCAGCAGAGATGGGAAAGGTCAGAAGGACACCTGGAGGAGCCACGGTCCCCTCCCACCTAGACAAGACATGGCCCTGGCACACTTTACCTTCTTGGAGTTAGAGCAAGGCATGGCGACTTCACACAGTCCAAAGTGCCTCTCCCCTTCTTCCTCCTCTTCTTCCCCCTTCCCCTCATTTCTATGCAAATGAGGAATCCAAGTTTGCACAGCCTGATTGGTCCAAATAGCACTGTCCTGATTGGTCAGAATTGTGTGTTCTGATTGGTTATTATAGAGCTACTCTGATTGGTCAACAAATATACAAATGAGGCTACAACTGTGCAGTTCTGATTGGACAGGGCAAGTCTCAGTCCATTGGTTGAAATAGGATTCCAGATTTGGCTCAGACTGCAAGACCACAATGCAGGAAGCTTGGCACCTCGGTCTGTGGCTTTTCTCTGACATGCAGTGTGCAAGGCAGGCCTCGGTAAACAATGGCTGCTAGGCTCGATTATGAATTTGGGCCCTGCTAACCATGGAGTCCTTTTTGGAAGGTATACTTCTTGGGTCAACATGTAAAGGCCAGGAATTGGCATATAGGAGCCACCAGGGTTTCCCTATGCCTGTGGTTTCCTGTTATGTGGGGCCATTTCTATACTTTGGGGGCCCCAGGTTGATCTGTGAGGTGTCCCAGTCCCTCTTCACACCCTAAAGACCCAAGTACTTGTTCCTTTGGCCCCTCTGCTCACCTGCTAGAGCCTTCCCATTCTTCCTTCATCTCCCACTGCAGGTCAGCTCAGCCTCCCCATCCTGCCCTGCTGTGAGGCTCTGGGAGCTCCCCTCACCCCCTAACCTCCAGGGGCGTAAGGAGGGGTTTTAACTGGCTCCTATGCATAATCCCCTAGAATGGGAGAGTACTCACACTCCACAGGATTGCTGCCTCCTCTCCTCATCACCTTCCTCTTAGGCCCCATGCCTCCTTCAGTGACTTTTCTCCCTGAAAGCTGCTTAACACTCATTTTAACTGTGTTTGTTTTTAACCACAGTCTGCACCCGGCCAAGTTCTAAAACAGCCAGTTGCACTTATTCAAGGCCCCTTAGCTTCATTCCATCTCCTGCTCATAAACGTACTTTGCCAGGGCTCCTCTCCCAGCCCTAGGACTGACCCTGGAGGTTTCTGCATCTACACTGTCACCCCAACCCCAGGTGCCTGCCCCTCTGGCATGCCCAACACAGGCCACCGTGGTGCCCTTGTCCTCCCTTCTCCTCCCCCACCCAAACCTCTGCTGACGGCTATTAAAGGTCAAGCGAGCGAGTGAGTGTGCAGCCGAAAAGATAGCAACTCAGGATAGAAGTTTCAGCTTTGGCTTTTAATAAATTAAAACGGACACATGGCCACCCACTAACCCTTTGGGCAGTGTTCAGTCCTAGAGGAGGGGAGTGACCAGGTGGGACAGCTCATCCTCCGGGCCTGTGCCCGGCCTTCTCCCTGTGGGTTGGCGTATCCAGAGCTGCTGTCAGGGAGTCTGGACAGAGAGCTTGTGGCTGAGGATTGCGTGGCCCTAGCTGCGGCCCAGTGTCCAAGCTCAACAGAAGGAAGACAGGGGCCTTCCTGGCCAGGCGGCTCCGGTAGCTCCAGCCTCGCTCTGGCAGAGGCAGAGGCAGAGGCAGAGGCAGAGGAACATACGTGGGGACGGGGCTGATCTGGCCAGTCTCACTGGCCACAGCTGCACCTCCCTGAAATTGGTCTCAGTTTCCCGCCACCCCCCCCCAATCTTATATATTACAAAAAATTCATAATATTCTGGCTACCAGATCACATTTCCTAGATGTTTTCACACCAGACCACAGGTTCCAATTTTTGATTTGGAGTATGGGGTCAATGGCTACAAGGCTGTTACTCGGGGACACTTTTCCCGTTCCTGGAAAAAGAGCAAAGGTGTGGAATGGGAGCTGGGAGAAATGAGATGGGAAGAGGCAGGCTCCAGGCCGATATGGCCCAGCACTGTCTTTGGTTCGGGAGTGCTGGAAGCTGCAGGAGCCCTTGACAAGGAGTGGGATGGGACCTGAAGCTGAGGCGATGCTCGGGGACCAGCTGAGTGATTCAATGAATCTCTTTCCTCCCCCTGCCAACAAAGGTGCAGGAAGCTGTTGACACCACCCCAGGCCCGGGCACCCGTATTTTCTTCTCCTTGCTTTGCACAAATTACATCCTTAAGCAAAATATCCAAATAGGCTCCTTCCCTCTCCCAAGTAGCTTTGTGCAGCGCATTCCCAGTCACCCCTCCCCCAGGGCGCTTCATGGCTTCTGGGGGAGTGACATTGAGGCCCAGAGCACCTCTGAGTCACCGTGGGATGGGCCTCTGCCTCAGCACACGGAGTGACAAGCTCTCCGCATGGGTCAGGAGCTCCTCAAGGTGAGCCAGTCCTAGCCCTGCAACCTTGGCCCCGTTCACCTCTAGGATCTCATCCCCCACCCCCAACAGCCCCGAGTACAGCTTGGCCGTACTTGCATCAGCCATCTCCTGCACGTAGAAGCCTGCAAAGGAAAACAGGAGAACTTAACAAGTGAAATGAAAGACATGCATCTCTGGCATGCTGACCAGGTGGGTGCTGTTTTTTGGGGGGGAGAGGGGCAGGGGCAGGTGCTCATACAGGGCACTTCTGCTCGCGCACATGCACACACACACACATACACACACACACCCTCATTATTCCCACTCAAAATCACAACTACTTCTTATATAGATATAGTATAACTTCATTTCTCCATCTCCTCTTTTAAAATGCCCTAGTGCAAATAATGCTTCACATATATTTCTGCCGGTTCACATATATTGCTATAATGGTTCACATATACCCCAGTGTGAATGAGCTAATCTTAGCTTTTTCTGAGATGAGCTTTGATTGTAGAATAGGAAAATAATGTTTAAAAATTAGGAAAATGACCTACGACGTGTCTGGCACAGTGCTAAATGGCACTCACAAACAAACTCCATTGCTGCCCTCAAGTTGCCAGAGTGGGGGGAAGGCATCGCTGAAGTAGCTGAGGTCCAGTCCAAGCCTGGCTTGCTTCCTGGTATTGTCTAGGGCTAGCCCTGGCCCCAGTCTTCCTCGGGTATGGTCCTCACTTGGAACTCGGAGGCCTCTGGACAAAGGCCCAGAAACATAAAAATCCTACCCCCATATTTAAAGACATGGTGGCTCCCTTTTCCCTTCTTCACCCCTCCTCACCTCCCCCACTGCCTCCGAGAGGCCCTGCCTGGCCAGTGTGACCATTCCGAGGTCTCCAAAGTACATCGAGAGCCCTGGGAGAACCCACTCCTCCCCTGGGTCTGACTCAGAGAACCCAAGTTGGTGGGACAGGCTCTGTGGGGCCTCAGGGCTGGATAGGCCGGGTAACACTCGCCTCTCCTGGCCACACAGGAGAGGGTTCCCCTCTCACCAAAACTTCTGCTGAAAACCTTTCAAACCCCTTCAGCTGCTTCCACCTAAGAGGTTAGAGGAGGAGCAGGCTCTTCCAGGGAAATCTGGTGAACACAGGTGTCTGAGAGCACCAGCCCAGGTCACTGGGGGGCCGCAGGGGATGATTGACACCGGCAGAATTCATTGGGGGGAGGGGGGTGTTGGGGGGGACTTTGTGAGGCCTCAGTGCCCTCCCTGCTGCCAGCCCAGGCTCAGCTGGCTCCCTCCACACTGAACAGCTGCCTGTGCATCACTCCCCACCTCCTCTTCCTGGAACCAGCTTCCTTAGAAGGGACATGAAAGGGCAACTTGCCCTGTTTCTCAGTCTCTGACCTAAAGCCATTTAACACATCTCAGACCAGTGGGAACTCATCTCTCTGATCCATGCGGCCCAACTCTGGCCCCAACAGTCAAGCTTTCCAGAGCCCACCCTGTGGAATTTGGGTTTGAACGTACATTGAACTCTCCCCTGAGGCACCTGAGGATTTGTAGCTCTGGGTTTAGCAAAACCGATTTTTTGTCAAGTTCCCTGTCCCTGGGCTGAGGTGGGGAGCCCCTTTCGGTGCTTCTCAGTCACCCCTAGCCTTTCCTGAGAGGCTGTCTCCCCCCAGCAAGGTACATCTGTCATCTTGATTGCACAGGCTTCTCTCTCACAGACCCTGTCTTCTACCTCTGCCATCTGGGTGTTTGAACTGCTTGCTGGCCTGTCTGCATGTTGGAAAAAGGCAGGTAAAATGGGGAGGGGTGGGGCCTGTAGAAATGGCTGCTATACAGCAGGATGTGAGGTGGGGAGTGTTGAGAAAACCCAAAAGAATGCAGCCAGAGTCAGACCAGACACTGATGTCACGCCAGCCATTTGGGGAGACTCTGGGGTAGGTTTTACAACTGAAAGTCATGACAAAAATATGACAGAGAGACTGCTTTGTAGGCATTTATTGGCTGCTGTACACGGCCTTTGCTAAGGATGTATGCTCCTTATGTTGCATTAGAAGCAGAAGACAAAGCCTGCTATTCTCTCATGCTTGTATAGAATCGGATGTGGTAGCCAGCAAGTTAGCACTAGCATCTTGACTCTTTAGGAAGGATTGCAAACCAACCCCAGCCCATGGAGCCGCTGAGGCCCAGGAAAAAGGACTCTTGGCTGCGGAGGACGGCGTGTGGCCAGGAGGCCCTGTTCGCATGGGGATCTCTGTGACATCCGCCGGCTAGCTGCAGCAGTAGAGGCCGGACACCACCTGGGCAAGACAGGGAAGAGCTCTCACCAACCAGGTGAGGAAGCCTGGGAGAGTGGGCCAGGGCAGAGCCCGAGGAGCCCTTGGTGATTACAGACCCCGCCCGTCAGAACTCCATGACAGGTGATGGGGGAGGGGCTCCCACTGCCTGCAGAGGGGCCTAAAGGGACTTTTGGGGAGTATGGGGGGCCGAGTACATGCTTGGTTGTGTATGATCTCACACTGACAGATGATGCCAGTCCCCGTCTGGAATTCTGCTCCCCAAATACATTCTCTTTCTGAGGAGGAAAGGGAAGAAAAGCACCAGGCACCTTTCTCTGTGCGCCACCGAACGCTCCTTCTGACTCTGCCAGAGTCTGGGAGCCAGGATGCCTGAGGACCTAACCCTCGGGAGCCAGCTCTGAGGGAGGGGCCTGATGCACAGACAGGCAGGCACATTCCGCGTGCCCAGACACACTCAGCAGCTGGAGGAGGGAACCATTTAAACACATCGGCCACATCAAAGGACTGCCTCTGAGAACTGGCAAGCACAAACAGTCTCCCTCTGGCTCCCCAGTGAATAGTTGGCCTTCAAGATTCTGATTTTAAGAATGTCATCAGACAGCAGAGGGACAGTGGGGTCAGGCCTGCCAAGAGCTACATCCCCCCGCCCCCAGCAGCCCATACCTTGACTCTTCAGAAAGAGCCCCTGTGGGGAGAACTCTAGTCCTTTTGATAAGAGGTTCTCTGAGCCCAGAGCTCCACTGCTCAGCCAAAGACCAGAAAACAACTCTGACCACCAGTGTGGTTTGCTAAGGCCCCAGGGCTGTGGGCCCAGAAAGCGGAGGCAGCGTACCTGAGTCCCGGCGCCCATTCCCGGAGGCCACACAGAAGCCAAAAGTGCCCTCTGGGGAGCGTTGCAGCTGCAGCTGGCTGGTGCCATCTGGGAACACCTCCACCACGTGGCCCACTGTGCGGGCCAGGCTGGGGGCACCCACATCCTCCACGCTGAGCGCACGCCGGGGCGGGGCCTTGGCTAACCTGCATGGAGACCAGAGACAGAGTGAGGGCAATGAGGGCTGGCACTGGGCTCCAGCCCCTTGGCTTAAAGAAGACTTGCCTCTCCGAGACTGACGGCTGGGGCTCCAGCATGAAGAGCCTGCTAGGGCCGAGACTGGCACCCCGTCTTGAAGCGCCCCAGCCTGCTGCTGCACCAGAAGCCCCAGCCATGAGCAAAGTTTTTAACCTTTTCAGGTGCAGAGACTTCTCTGAGAACCTGATGAAAGCTGTAATTTTATATAAAATTTCCAGGAGTTAATGGACACCCTGAAGTTCCTCCATGGAACTCTAGGTAAGAGCAGCTAACCTAGAGGGTCATAGGTCAAGGGCCTTCTCCAGGCAGGGTCAGAGGTCAAGGGCCTCTTTTGAGGTCTCTGTCTCTGGATCTTTAATTTGATCTTTAACTGAGCTAAGGAAGGTCTCTGGACATTGATTTCAAGATGTCATCAGACAGCAGAGAGATGGAGGAATCAAACCTCCCAACTCCACCCCTTTCAACACCCCACACCTTCTCAAAGCTCAGCTGCACATGAGGTGCGGGTTCCAAGACTCCTGTGGCACCTGAGGCTCAGAGAATTGGCCTCTCTTTCTCTTAATGGGATCCCACTCAGGACCGTGCTGCTGAGGCAAGAAGTTAAGCTTATGGTTCCATTGTCCATTCTTAGTGTGTCCTCCAGACCACTTGCCCACCTGCCCACTCTTACCTGCCAGGTTCACTGTGGTCCCCTGGCTCCCCTACCAGGTACAGGCTAGACCGGTCCACCTTGCCACTCAGCAGAGAACAGAGGTTCTGAAAGGAGGCAGCTTTCCGATGTTGGTGAGAGGGTGACGCCTAGAGGTGAAGGTCCAATATTGCAGGTGAGACAAGCCGCCTGGCAAGGGGATGACAGAGACTTGACCCCAACCATGACCCTGAGGGCCCTCTTTCAAAGTAACAGGAGTTTTTGTCACTACTTCAAGCTGCTGCACCATAATTTACTCAAGTAGATGGGTCTACACAGGTGATACGATCTGAAGCTTCCAGGTTTGGGGTTTTCTTGGCTGAAATAACAATTTAGTACTAAGACACTAATTACCACACCACTTATTAAGAAAATCTAATTTTCTTGTTAAGAAAAAAAAGTAAAATCAAATTAATTATAGAATAACAAACACAACTTTAGAGTTAAAATGTTAGTGTTTTTGTGATTCTTTAGTATATCCCTTTTACGGTCAGTTACATTCAAAATTTTTAATCTAAGTGTGCACCTTAAACCATCATGAATAAAAAGATGGCAAAGACAAAAGTCCCTTGAGGACTTTCCCCAGTGGTGGGTGTGGGGTGGGCACAGGTAAGTTAAAGGCCCGAAATGCAGGAGAAAGTGCTTGGTTGAAAGTGCAGACGATGTGCAGGGAAGCAGAAAGAGACTTCGTTTGGCTTAGGAGGCCTGGGGACACTTAGAGGAGCTGATCCCTGAGTGAGGCTTGAGGCAGGAACCCGTGAGGTGAATACAGGGGCAGAGTCCTCCAGGCAGAAGAAACAGCAGGTACGAAGACGTGGAGGGGCGAGGGAAAACATGGTCGGCTCTGGGTCATACTCATGGTCTGGTGGCGAGGCTGCAGAGGCGATGGGAGGTGGGCCGGAGCAAGGGGCCAGTCCTGGAAGGACCTCGTATGGCCTGCTAGAGAACCCCTGAGTGATGCTCATCTGAAGAGTTACAAAATCTGACCTGTGTTCTAGAAATCAACCCAGTGAGAAGCCCATTTGGAAGGTGGGGGGTAGGAATGGTAGGGAGGAGCAGACTTTAAAACAAATGTTAAAGACATGTATTACATTTGGAATCCCTGCTCTAGAGAAATAAGGCATATCATCCAGAAATTGAAGGGGGGGGTGGGTTGTAGCTGGTTTGTATCAGAGTTCCACGAGGCTTCCTGGGAGAAGTCATGTTAACGCAGACTTGAGGAGAGCCTTCCAGACGCAGGTGTAAAGGGAGCCACCGCCAGTGGAGGATGTGGGAGCATCAGGAGGGGGCGGGTGAGAGAATGGGCCGCTGCCCACTCAGGAGGGCAAAACAGAAAGCAAGCTGCTGCAGCACCCACCGCCCTCTCACCCCACACCCAGCAGCACAACAGTCTAACAGGAAGTCGCTCGCCCAGAGCTATGTCCTGAATAGTTCTGGGTGAGAGATGGGTTCTTCTTTTATCCTCTTTTTCCAGTTCTTGTACATTTCTTTCTACTCCTCAGTCCGCCCTTTCTCACCAGCTTGTTCTCTCCCTTCCCACTCGGCTTAGATTACTGACAGCACCTCTAATACACTGACATCATTGTCACTTCCCTAGAGGGCTTTGCAGAGGCCAGAGCTCTGAGTGCAACACACCAGGTGTCCTGGCTCAGATATACAGGGGACAGATCTAACTTCATGGGGAAAGTGAATTCCTGGAGCATGGGGTCACTCTCGGGTCCTCTTCCCAGCTTATATAAGGCTGTTTTGTTTCTGTTTTTGCCCTCCATTCATTCATCCAGCAAATACTTATTGAATGCCAACCACGTACCAGGTAGTGTTCCTGGAGCCAGACTGAAATGGAAATTTAATTCAGTCTGAAAATAAAAGACTCCAGTACGGCAAACCACAATTACCTGCTTCCTTCCGCCCAGGGAGGGGAGCAGAGACTAGAAGAACAAACATAATACTGGAAACACCTGGAACAGAACAGGGTTTTCAGAAACATAGCTGAGTCAGTGAGCTGCTGTTGGTTTACCCTCCAGCACAATTCAGGGACAATTCAGCAGGCTGCCCTGCATCCACTCACTCACTCACTGTGCATTATGTCTACTATATTCACCATTGTACTGAATATTGGGAATATAAAGATCAACGGTGTTCCCTCAAAGAAGTCACACTCCAGTGAGGGGAGACAAACAAAAATCAATTAAAATACTATGTGCAAGTTCCACCAAGGAGGGTAGCCCAGAATGAATAAAAACAGAGCAAGGAAGGGTAGGAAGTGGCTTCCTGGAAGATGCAATGCCTGAAGTGTCCTTGGATGAGAAGGCATTAGCAGGTAGAGAAGGCGGGAGAAAAGAAACATGAAGGTTGAAAGTCAGACAGTGTGTGGCCTTCATGACAGAACTTCAAGGTCAAGGACAACTGGGATAAGTGTTAGAAGGAGAGTGATGAGAGATGAAAGCAGTCAGATCACAGAAACCCTCTGGCATTGTCAAGTGACCTGAGCTTTATCCTGAGAGTGGTACGGGACCAATGGCCTGTATGAAGTGAGGGCATGGTAAGCCAGATGTGCATAGCAGAAGGACCATTCTGGAAGCCAGTGGAGAAAGACAGG